ATGTGACAGCTGGATTTGGAGAAACCTAAAAGAATCACAGGCATCATCACTCAGGGAGCAAAAGACTTTGGAGTTGTGCAGTTTGTTTCAGCCTTTAAGCTCGCTTACAGTAATGATGGACAAACATGGAGCATTGTGAAGGATCAAATAACAAGAACAGATAAGGTTACCAGTGACGTCAATATCTCTGCTTTATTTATTTATTTACATTTTTTTAATGAAATGAATTGTTTAATCGGCAAGTAATTATTAAATTGATCACAGTAAAGACATTTATAATGTTACAAAGATTTCTATTTTTGAAATAGAAGTTTCAATTATATTCTATTTTCTATGTATCTTTTGAGCTTTCTATTCCTCAGAGAATCTTGAAATAAATAAAAAAAAGGAAATAGGTAAAAATTTTTTAAAAGTACTAATAGTAAATCAGCAAATTATAAGACACTGAAAACTGGGGTAATTTATTCCATCACAGGAATAAATTACACTTAAAAACATTGTATTTATTTTGAATTGTAATAATATTTCACAATATTCATGTTGTTACTGTATTTTTATTTTGTAGGGTGCAGTATAGCCTCTCATACTTTTTTGTTTATTGGGTACAGTGAATATTAGGATTACATTGTCAATGAATTCCCAGTTTTCCATGTTGGGACCTGGATACAAAGAGGAAATGAAATCATTTTCAAACTACGAACTCCACTTAAATTAGTAGCCTTTATCAAGTCTTTATTTCAACAGAATTCTAAAATTGAATAAAATCCTCAAAGCAAACAAATATTACATTTAGTTATGTTCATTTCATCTCTGACTAATTGAAATGTTTGGGGTTTTTTTCCCTGTAGATTTTCCAAGGCAACATCGACAACAACACATACAAAAAGAACTTGTTTGAGCCTCCGTTCTTTGCACGATTTGTGCGGTTTCTGCCCTGGGAGTGGCATGAGCGGATAACTCTACGCATGGAGCTGCTGGGCTGTGATGATTAGTCTGCACTGCTTTTGCCTGAAGTGTGTCTGCTGGTTATAGCTGATGATTTGTTTCAATATACATTAGCTTCAATTGTTGCTCTGTATTTTATTGTATTGATGTCAGTGTTTTAATGTACCTTTGAAGGGTCTAATTTTAACGCCTTTTGGCACAACTTCAATTTTAGGAAATCACCTTTTAAGCAAGTTTCAGAGAACATTACAAAATTTGAAAAACATAAACCTTAAATTGTAATACTTTACTAAAATTGTTAGTCCCACAACCAATGAACATTCTTGTATTTCAATATGGATGTCCTGATTTATAATGAAATATACAAACTATAAGTAAATATCTTTATTATTCCTTATCTTTGGCCACCAAGGTGAGAACCTATCCATGAAGCAACCTACCTGCTTCCACCTGTCTTAAATATTACATCCCACTAGTGCTAATGTCCAATAGTTGACCTTATTCTGCCTTTTAGCACACAAAGGAAAATCGTCAACTTGTAATTTTCTGTAAACACACAAATACGAGCTACAACATATTTTTCTGAACTAATCTAGACTGTCTGGAGTACATTTATATTCAGTATGGGTCTGTTAGAAACATTTCTGTAAATTAGAAATGAATTAAACACTCCAGGAAAATGTTATTGCTGAAATGTCATGTTAAGAGAATGGCTCACATCAATTGGCTCGTTTGCACTGCAGTTGCTCTACATTTTATACTACAGTTTATATATATTTTATAACTCGATTTTATCTGAGTCAATGTAAACAACCAAATTGGAATAGAATTGTACAACTGCAAATATTGAGTATCTTTTGTAAAACACATTGTCTTTAACAATATTAATAAATATGTGAAATATTTCCGCTTCTCCTTGTTTGTGGCTCAAACTGAGGAAGATTTTCAACATGTGCTTTTTCAGAAATAAATATGTGAGACTATGTGGTCTTTTAATCTCAAAATAATAGATTCTGAAATAAAAGATTCTTAGATGTGTAGCTTTGGATTCCCTTCTGTAAGTCAAGAGCATTGGATGTATTGCCTCATTGCCCAGCCTTATTGCCCCAGATATTGGTCGGTGCATGTCCATTTGTAAATGTGCTGTTTTGGCAATTTAATATTCTCCCATTTGTAGACAACAAAAATACCAGAGTAGGTGTCATGCATCAAATCAGCCAGATGATGGCAGTAGGCATTGCGCTTCAGAGTCTGTAACAAGGCTCTCTAGGCGACATAGGAGAAACAGGTCCGAGTGGCTAAAAAGGGTCTATTCAGTCACAGGGGAGTTCATTTCTTCCACTCCACACCCAAATTAGGCAAACATTATCATCGGTTTTAAAATACATTTCTAGACTGGGTTGGGTGAGGTAAAAACCGTTTTCTTTCCATTACCTGTCCTACATTTTGAATAACCTCTCTTAGCCTACTCTTTGCTGTACTTGCCAACACACAAATCAGTCCTGTATTAAATGTGATGTATGGAATGTTTTAATGGAAAGTAGTTGCATTTGCTATTATACAGTTATTCAAACACATAAAGTTCATCTGACGACATTCCTGGAAAATTTTAAAAGTTTCTTACTTTATAAACAACAGATTATCACAATGACAATATTTCCCCTCATGATTTCACTGTAGAATTTTGTTACTCATCCATCTCAATGAAAGAAATGATGGGTCTTCTGTGCCACGGAGTACGGTTTTGCTTGTAACTTATGAGGGGGGGGAAATCCTTAAAGAAATGTTTGTGCATCTTCTGCAGTTCATACTGCATTCGTCATTTGTATCATTTCAACTTTAGCAGATGAAAATAAAGCTATACTGTATAAAAGAGCCTTTGGGATGAAAGAGGCACAGCCTCTTGTAAGTAAGCAGTCTCTTCACTGAAACAGGCAAAATGTAAAATATTCACAAGGCACTTGTCATTAATAGTTCTATCTGACATATTATTAGAAAGAGCTGATCCTGGATCATTCTTGTCCCCTAGTGTAGCACTATGCCCTGCATAGTCTTGGCCTACAGATAACATCTGACAATCAAGTACATTTCCATGATTAGGTTTACATTCATAATCTGCCTGGATTTGACCACCTGTCTGATGTTGTTTATGTCTTTATGGCTTTTGAGAGGAAAAGATGGAAACGCCCAGTCAAAAATGGATGTACTATGTGTTATCCTGTGAGAAATCAAAAAATCTCATTTCACATTATATTATGAATCAGGCACAACAAATTAATGACATCCTTGTGCAAATTGTTTTCTGTCTGGTAAGGTATTAGAAAATAAATACGATTTCTTGTAAACGTCTTTTATGGCTATAAACTTTTCTAGGTTTTCATATTTCACATTTCATCATGTACGTTGTTAATGTACCTACATTTTGGCTTACTAGCAGAGAAACACACTATTTTTGTGTCCTTCAAAGAGGAAGAACTGGGCACTTCCAGCTCTTCACTCAAAAGGAAAACCTGCTAATATTTTCAGACATCTTTAAGAAGGTTGCTAGTATTTGATCTGTTGGTCTCTGATCCTTTAATGCAGGGATGAGACAGATAGCTGTATCATGGCAATTCAAGATGGGCATTTATCTTTGAAAATAACACTTTTTAATCAGAAATGTATGTATTTTCTTAATTCAGTGTCTTGAAAAATAAATATAAAACTTGTACTGTGTTAAAAACCAAACTGTAACTCTTCAAGTCTCCTTAGAGATGTTTCTCCAAAATTTTTATACTAGCTTTATGAGAGTGATGAACAGAAGATTCCTTTTGCAGTCCGGATTTGACCTCTATAAATGCAAAAAAAAAAAAAAAAAAAAGAAAATTTCAGTACCTTTTACAGAACATTGTATATATATATATTAAACAAATAGTTATTTTAAATTAATTGTTTTGTTTTTTTATCTTTTAAATGTAAGGGAAGGATATGATTAAAATATACGGTATGTGCCCAGTTTTACAGACAAGGCTTAAAAAGGGAGCAAATATCCATAGACGTCATGTTAAAATATCTGTTTTCACAGCATAAATTCATGTTTTTACAGTTTGGTCCCATGGACTTTTATTGTAATCTTCAATATGTTCTGCGTGCCTGACAACTGTGAGGGGGGTGAATTTTTTTCTAACTCGTTAGTTTAGATCATATTTAGATCATATTTAGGTTAACTTTGATTGACAGCTGATAATGGGCTGCGCCGAGTGGAGTTTGACGTCTCGGCCATGATCTGACACAACACATCATACCACCTCTGTATCCTTTCTGAAACTTTTGTAATTTTGTATTTTCCAAGATTTTCCAGTATGCCCATACCCCCTATAAACAGCCTCAAACCCGTCCTTCAGAGAGTCTATGGGTGACGTCACAGACGCTTTGTCCATATTTTTTACAGTCTATGGGCTTAAGGCTTGTTCCAGACTAAAATGCATGTTTGTGCTGTCTCCTACGCTGTTCACGTAGTAAACACAGTGCAGTGCTCCCCGGTTCTATATCAGAACGCCGGCTCACCATTGACTTTTTTTGTGCACAAAAAGTATTTGTGTTGCTTGATAACATTAAGGTTGAACCACTTGTGTCACATTGACTATTTTAACAATGTCTTTACTACCTTTCTTGGCCTTGAAAGCTGCAATGACGTTGCTGTCTATGGCTGATTTAGAAAGTGTATATCTTAATTTGTGTTCTGAAGATGAATGAAGGTCTTACGAGTTTGGAACGACATGAGGGTAAGTAATTAATGACAGAAATTTCATTTTAGGACGATATCCCTTTAATCTAAGCCTTGTCTGTGAAACTGGGCCATAATATAAATGTATGATTTATACTAACATTCAAGTGTGTAAGAAATCATTACTTTTAATAAGGATGCATTAAACTGATCAAAAGAGGCAGTAAGACATTTGCATTATTACAAAAATATATACTTTTAAAATAAATGTTGTTCTTCTGAACGTTCTATTCATCCATAAATCCAGCGGAAAAAAGTAAACAGCACAACCATTTTCAACATTGATGATAATGAGAAATGTTTCTCAAGCAGCAAATATTAGAATGATTTATATGTTAGAATGATTTCTGAAGGATCATGTGACACTAAAGACTGGAGTAATGATGCTGAAAATACAGCTTTGCCATTATAGGAGTAAATTACATTTTAAAATATATTCAAATTAAAAATAGTTCTTTTATATTGTAATAGTATTTCACAATGTTACTGTGTATACTGTGTTTTGATCAAATAAATGCAGCTTTGGTGAGCATAAGAGACTTCTTTCAAAAGCATGTTATAAAATCTAGCTGAATCCAAACTTTTAGTGTAAATGTATATATATATATATATATATATATATATATATATATATATTAATCTAAATATCAAGATTTTTTTAACAGATTTGAACAAAATCTGGCTTTCACTAGTTTTTGGCAATGCTTGAATAGCTTACTTGATATGCATTGCACTTGTGGCTTCTCCCACCGTCCATCTGCCATGCAGCGGATCACAGGTGGGTGGCGCTGTGTGAAGTTTTCACTGCACTGGTATCTGATGATAGAATTCACCTGGTAAAGATCTTTCTTTTTTCCAAACATCCTGGCATTCTCCACCTTAGGAGGTTGTTCACAAGTCACTGGTAGAGAGGAAGTCAAATTCAAACATCAGATCATGCTCTCTCACAATGATGAAATTCATTTGTGTTTGGTGGTGTGCATACCTGGACCTGTTTTGCATGTGAAAGGCAGGTGGTAGTTGCAGGGAACGTCATTCCATTGGCCATTTTCATGCCAGATCATTACAACACAGTCTTCACCAGATTTAAAATAATCGTCAGGCTGGTTAGGTCGCCAGTTCTCATATTGCTAAGCAGAGGAAGAGAAAAATCTTCCAATGAAATAGTTATACACTCTTAAAAACAAAGATTCTTTACTGCCATCTACTTTTATATTTAAGAGTGTATGTTTAGAATTATACTGTAACTTCTCAGCAAGATTTAGGCATACCAGTGGGGTCCCATCTGACCAACGGAAGTCATTTTCCACCGTTTTATCATTCAGTCCAATCCACTGATAGTCTTGAGAGTATGCTGTTACAAGAAGAAGTTTATTACTTGTAATCAGAGAAACAACACACATACTTAGAATCTTAAACACACATACAGAGATGGATAATGGCACTCACAGTTTATGAAGGCTTGCTCCTCTGGAGTGATAATGCTAACCAGGTGAGCGTTTAGGTCTCGACAGCGTTGCTCAGCGTCCAGCCAGGTCTCTCTCTCCGAGAAATGCAAGTAACAGTTGCCTTGAAACTTAGTCCAGCCCTGCCCACAGCTGTGCAGATCTGAAGCAACATCACGTGGCAAATTTACCAATGTTTCACCAGATGTTTCACCTCTAAGACCACTATCGCAAAATGTTTTGTCACTGACACAGGATAAAAGAGATAATTTAGCCAAAAAATGAGAATTCTGTCATCCTTTACTTACACTCATGTCATTCCAAACCCGTAAGACTTTTGTTAATCATCGAAACACAAATCGTGTTTTTAATGAAACCTGGGATATTTCTGTCCTTCAAAAAAGTTAAAAAGTTCAAAGAGAAAAAAAAAAACTCTTTATATGATGAACCGATTTAATTTATGCTTTTATTCACATATAAACATTGATCAACACATACATAGAGCGTATCAAAAATGGTAAACAGAAGTTTACTCGTACTTCTGTGACATGCGAGAATGAACCTCATCGATTCTCGTGATTTTTGAAGCAACAAAGTTGGAAAATGAAATGGACTGTAAATCTAACAGGTTTCATTAAAAATCTCTTCATTTGTGTTTAAAAAAATTGAACAAAAGGCTTGGATGAGGGTGAGTAAATGATGACCGAATTTTCATCTTTGGGTGAATTATCCATTTAATACTTACTGTACATGCAAATAAGGAACAAATGACAGATGTACGATGGAATGTGCTGAGGGATATGGATAAAGTCACTTTATCTTTCAGTGTTTAAAACCAGGGAGTGTTTTAAAGCAAGCAACAAATGCCTTTTAAGTGGCATAATATCAGCTTATCAGATAAAGTGATTTTCCACAATCGTAAGTATTCCAGTAGACTGACGATTAAATTCCACATGAAGCCAAAAACATCCCGCAGAAAATGATCAAATGAGATATTTTTGGACTCTGCTTACATGGAAAATTTATGTTTCCCTTAGTTGAGTGAGTCTGCCCCTTTCTGTCTGAGGGTTGTAGATTTTTGCTACATTTTTACAGTCGCTGCAAACACATCATTTCCTGTATGTATGTTTAGCTGCGAAAATGATTACCATAAATGGACTGGGAAAACCTCCACAAAAACAAAAACAAATTCGTCCTTTGTTTCAGTGGGACACTCATTGCACCATAGCGACATCTAGAGTTGTGTGTCACCTTGAAGGTTTTTGAAAGACCGTTAGTAGAATTAGCTGAAGCAGCCTCATACCAATCTCACAGCGGTCTCCTTCGTAGCTGGGCAGACATAAGCATTTGAAAGTGTCCTCTACCTCCACACAGGTGGCTCCATTGGTGCAAGGGTTTGAATGGCAAACATCAACCTCTGCAAATAAAGGTTTAGCAATTAAAGCTGACTACTATGAAGATGCCCTGAGGTAGGCCAAGCTTAGCAGAGAGCATCATTGAATCAGAACTCATGGAGCTGCTTCTACACCGTAAGCCAATCTCTTGAATAATTATACCATCAATACTTTGATAAGCTGAGAAGACACACTCAGTAAATCATGGTACATTGAAGGAGAGATCAGAGTCAGTTGTGGTTACTGTAAGAGCGATGACCTGGGATGAGTTTTTATGCTTCTCATGAGGAGCAGATCAGCACTCTTACAGTCCCAGAAACAGAGGCAGAATTTTAGAGTTCAGATTCATGTGAAGATGGACGAGAAGTATGAGCATGTACCAGGTGTTAGCAGGCGTGCTGATTAAACCAGACTGCAGCAAAGGCACAGCTAAACAAAAACAACAGGTGAACAGTCACTGAAAAGACATCTGGACACAAGAGCTGAGTAAGGTGAAATTACATAACCACACACACATGCCACATAACCTGTAAAATGGACTGTGAGGACACGAATCAGGCATGAGCAAACTGAACAGAAGTTATTCATAAATGAAATGCAAACAGTGAGACACTTAGAGACAATCATTTGATTCATTTGAACACAAATATATAAGCAACACAATATATTAAAGGCATAAAAAAAACAACATTTTGAAAAGGTCCCATTATGTGACTTTACAAGACCTTATGATATAACTGATTCAATTCAGTCTGACTCACCATACTGGCACTCTTCTCCATGCAGTCCAGGTGGGCAGTGACAGAGGCCCACCCCATCCTTCACTGAACACAAACCAGCTCCACAAGGGTTCGGATCACATGGGTTAAGAGAAGCTATTGTGGCTTTTGAGAAAGAAAGAGAGCAAGACATGAAACCATGATACAAAGAGCTGTTTTTGTCTTTGTTTTTTGCTATGGTCGATAATCATCCCATTGTAACAGATTATCAAAAACTACAAAAAAAATGTAGGGTAGGGACTTGGTTCTATCCATCAGTTCTTGATTGGAATTTGAGAATGTTTTGCACTTAGAAATTAATGCAAGATTGAAGTCAATTAAGGTGTGGGGTGGTGTTCAAGTGGACTAAATATTTGTAGAAGTCCTGCATACGTCATCAGAAAGAATTCTGTCATTTTCACCAGAATGTTATGACAGTTTGATAAAACATAACAAGGTAACATTTTTTTTTAAACAATTTCATGCAGACTTTAAATGATGCCAACACAAAATTAAGTATCCAAACCTGGCCAACACAAATACATAAAAAAATTGTTAATACTGGCCAATAACGGATATGCCATGCATCTCTATTCTGTATTTCAGCCCATATTATGCAAAAGGAATCTCACCATTCATATCAGGTGCTTCGGTGAGAGATGGACCCTGCAAAGAGGCAGGCTGTGTGGTAGAAGACAAAGCTGCAGAAGTAACAGCGTCAAGTTGACTGATGATTCCCTCTGGTGTTGAATAAGACCCTGCAGCATCACTGTACAGGCCTGATGGCCCTTGAGCAAGTAGTACAGCTGAAGGAGCATCACTGGAGTTCACCGTGGATTCATTTTGGTCATCTCCACTACCTGAGGACAGCCGGACGTTGCCACTATACTCCACCTCTCCCCTTCCTAGCTCCATTCCTTGGAGGGGCTTGTTGGGTATTTCCATCATGCCATTATTGGTAAAGAAGGTGATATCCCCACTAACTAATTCCCCTGATCTTTCTCCTGATTCAATGGCATAGCCTCCAGATGTAAATCCACTTCCCTCACCAGACCCAAAAAACAAAAGCCCAGAAGCTTCCTGTTCACGAGATTGTTCTGTGAGATCAATGAAGCCAGGCTCCAAAAATTTCAGACCAGAAACTGCTAAACCACTCCCAGAGCCACTATGGACACCGCTTATTCCAGATACATCACCACTCATACCAGAGTTATCATCATTCATCCCAGAGATATCACCGCTCATTCCAGAGATATCACTGCTCATTCCAGACCCTGAGGTATGTCCTGATCCGCTGAAATCCACATGGCTTCCACCTAACTCTTGTTCTAATTGTTGTGGGTTATCAACCATGATCATGCCACTGCCATCAATTAATGAAATGCCACTGGATCCTCCAGAGGGGAAAATTCCTGACAGGAAACCACTGAGTCCTGAGGACTCCTCACTGGAACCTGATCCTGAGGAGATGCCAGAAAGATCTCCACTCTCGTCGCTTTCTCCTGAGCTGCTGGAAATGTCTGAGGTAGATCCACTTTCTTCAGAGCCATACCCTGACCCACTGCCTGATCCTGATCCAGAAGTGTCCACACTCTGGTCGAAGGGGAAGGTGAGGATCTCGGTGACTCCCTTCCCAGCCTCCTCGGGTTTCCCTGAAGCTGATCCAAATCCTGATAAAACTGTGTCACTTTCTGAAAAGATTACTCGGATATTGCCAGATCCTGAAGGGTTTCCAGACCCGCTTGGCAGATCCCCGCTCCCACTTGACACAAATGACCCACTTGGCTGATCCCTGCTCCTACTGTCTAACAGATCGTCAGTGCCACTGGTCCCAGAAGAGTCTCCACTGGAACCGAATGATCCACTCGGCTGACCACCGCTCCCACTGCTCAACAGATTGTCGGTGTCACTGGCCCCAGAAGAGTCTCCACTGAAACTAAATGATCCACTCGGCAGATCCCCGCTCCCACTACTCAACAGATCGTCGGTGCCACTGGCCCCAGAAGAGTCTCCACTCGAAACAAATGACCCACTTGGCTGGTAACCGCTCCCACTACTCAACGTATCATCAGAGCCACTGGTCCCTGAGGAGTCTCCACTTGCAATAGATGACCCACTCGGCTGATTCCCACTCCCACTGCTCAACAGATCGTAGGTGCTGCTGGCCCCAGATGCACCAGATCCAGACGGTTCCACAGGGATTGAAGTAATGATAGGGATACTCTCTGAAGAAACAGAGACAGACAGAGAATCTAAGGTACTGCACTCAAAACAAAATGAATATTCCTGACGCATAGGTTACAAGCTGTTAAAATTGGACATGGGTCAATGACGTTTTTTGTTCTATTTATTCAAACATGCATTACAATGCTGTGCATACATACAGCAACTTAAAGAGATAGTTCACCCAAAAAATAACATTCTGTTATCAATTACTCACCCTCATGTCATTCAAAACCTATATGATTTTATTTTCTCAGTGGAACATAAAAGAATACATTTTGTGAAATGTCTCAGTGTTTTCTTTCTTTTTTTTGTTGGGAAGAAGAAAGTCATACAGGTTTGGAATGACATGAGGGTGAGTAAACAATTACAAATTGTGAGTATGATAATCAAGAGAAACATCCAGGCCCTCATTATAACCTTTATAACCTTTTCATAGTTTTTAGAACTATTAGCAGAAGTACCCAGGTTTTACCCAGGGTACCGCAGGAACTAGGAATGATTTTAGCTCATACTTCATAGTAGGGTCTAAACCAGCAATACCAGTGACGATAGTGTATGCTGAGCACCAGCACCTGCCCCATTTTATTCAACGGCAGGTGAGACCAACTAAACAATTAAATAGACCATAGGAACTTTGGAATGCGGAAGTAACGCGTGTCATGGAGCAGCCGATAGTTCCAAACACTGAGAGTTCCAGCATTGAACCCCAATCATTTTCAGTGTTTCCGAAGTACGCTCCCTGGTAAATTAATGAAATTACTGTATTTTGTTTTATTTTTACACACATTAGCCAACCTCTCGTGAACCTAGTCAGTAGTTATATTTTATGTAGCCAATTTGAGTTAAGGTTTATTGGTAAATAATAGGTTAATAGCAACTACATCTTACGTGACATTAGCTAACACTTCACTGACATTAGCTAACTTAGCTGTAGAGATGTATACACTACATAATATTATTAATAATAATATTTTTTATATATACATGCATACACACAATTCATTTATTTAAATGGGTTAGGGTTATGTGTGTATATGCATATTTGTCCTACTGTTTGTTGTCCTACTGTTAGTTTAACTGATTCTATTGTTCTTCTATTTGTAAGTCACTTTGGATAAAAGCGTCTGCTAAATGAATAAATATGTACTGTAAATATATATGTCAAAATGTATGTTTGAGTAATACATATACATAAATACACATGCATTCATATATACAGTATATACAGTATATATATCCTGACATACATACCAGGTCTGAGAAGATCAGGCAAGGATGTCATGTTCACTATATTTTCCTCTTTCACTCTCTTATTCGGAGATAGAGCCAGATCCACTATACATAAAAATGACAAATATGTAATTAATCATTTTGTATCAATAGACTTGATATATTAAATTTCAAAGAAGTTACACTTTATGGCCTGTAATTGACTATAGATGTTATATTTACCCTTGAAGCAATATGCATCGTATTTGGAGTGCAGTTCAGGAGAGCCCGTCTGGTTGGGAAACATGTAAACTGTGTGAACTCCAGCCATCCCTCCACCACACTGCTGCCGGGGGTTATTGATGGAGTAACGTACGCTGCGGTCAAGAAGCCAGCCAGGGCGGCACTTATCAAAGCCCTGCTTCCAAGCAGCATACAGGTCTCCTGTGGAGGCCAGGGTAGCATTCCGGGCCTGGCAGTAAGCCACTGCTTCATTGTAAGTGAATCCCTCGAATGAACTTGCATGGAAAACTTCGCCTGAAATGTGAACATTTACTTAAAACTCAAGCTACACAGTGTGTCAGAGTGATTCTTTATCCCTATTAAAATGGGGGGGGGGGGGGGGTCTTTCTAAAAAAAAAAATTCCAGTTTTATTTTTCAATCTCAAAAAACTTAAAGGGCACCTATTATGCCCCTTTTTACAAGATGTAATATTGGTCTCAGGTGTCCCCAGAATGTATTTGTGAAGTTTCAGCTCAAAATTCCCCACAGTTAATTTATAATAACCATTTGAAAATGTCATTTTTGGGGCCTGTTTAAAAATGAGCTGTTTGGTGTCTAAGACCTTAAATGCAAATGAGCTGCATATCCCCGCCCTGCCTTTGGATGAGGGCGTCACTTGCAGAAGGCCGAGAGAGTGAGAGACCCGCTGTTTTTGAATGTCATTCAGCTGAACATTTTTGAATC